TATGCAACTATGTTCTCAAATTTCTGTATTAAGAACATAAGCTTTGTGATCAAGTGCCCTCTCTTGCTCTGGTTTTTTTCATTCGGGTGTTATCCATATGGTATTTCTCCTGTGTAGATTTTTAGTAATCCTTGAATATGTGTGTGTTTTAGCCTTCGATCAATGGTTAGGTGATGAAGATCTGTCAGCATTTCCTGGCTCTGAACTAGGATTATTAGTATACCATGATTTTTTTTGTGTTCGAAAGTTGTTTTGTCAGGTGGTGATCTCAACAAGTTCTGTGATCACCAATTCATCCACAGGGTTACATGAAAAAAAGATTGAAATTTTTTTTTTTTGTTTCTGACTTTGATTATCTTATAAAAAAAGCTGAAGTTTAGTTTCCTGCAGGTTGGGCACTCTATTGGTTCATATATATCTCTAGAAATGTTCCGGAAGTCTCCAGAGAAGGTGACAACAACCTTGTACAATGTTGTCTGCTACTCACTCAGTCACTTGTCATACTATTACTACCACCCATAGGCTTCTGACTACAGAGAACCTGCTACATGTTTTATGGAATTGTAGGTGACATTTTGTGTTGGACTATATCCTTTTTTGGCCTTAAACCGACAATCTGTACAGCAGTCTTTCATCAGGAAGCTTGCAGCGTAAAATTCTTTCTTTTTTATGCGTGTTTTTTGTTCTGTCCTATGCATTAGTGTGCTTCATGCACAAGCAATAGGCAGTTATTATAATGAAATTTTTCCTGTGGCTGGTACCTTTGGTTTTGCTTTTATATTTCATGCCTACTAGTGGTGTCTGTTTAGTTTTGTTGGTTTCACTTATGCGACAATAAAGGTTGAACATTCAATGAGAAAACTGACAGTTGATGAATTGTTCAGGGAACTGTTATTGACAATCCAAAAAGTCATCCTACTCTCCTCCAAGTTGAGTTTCTAGTTTATGTGGGAGGAATGCCGGATGACTTCTTTAGAGTGCCAATAACATCTCCTGTTTTTAACCATTCATTGGAATTCTCACTTGGTCCTAATGTATATTGGCGGGTTCTTTTAAAACTCATTCTAGTGATATTAGTTGTAACAGTAGCCATTCATAGAGATTAACAATACAGAATAGTGTGTTTCAGGTCCCGTATTCTAAGTGTTGTCTTGAGCTTAATTGTTGCACCCTTGGGATTGTTTCCTATCCGATTGTTGAGGTTAATTGTGACCACATTCCTTGGGAAGCCCTGGTCAGCTACTGCAGTTGAGGCTACTTGCTCTCACTTGGTAAAGGTAAAGGTCTGTCTTGTAATAGATTGGTGAAGTTGGCTTCTTAGGTCATACATACTTTCAAAAACGTCAAAAATCTTTTCTTTTCTGGTTATTTCTTATTATGAAGGAGCTTATACTTATACCAATGTTCCACTGATTAAACTATTTGCCTCCATCAAGCAGTGTGTTTTTTGTGCGTGACTGTGTGCACGCTATTGTGCATGTGTTTTGAATCTTTTTCCATGAACATTTGATTTGTGTACTTGTAGTACCATACCATGCGGAATGTCCTCTTCATGGCAATGACAGAATTCAGAGAGGTAAAACTCTTGCCCTTTTGTAAATTTAAGATTTTAGTTGTAATTGTTCATGAAAGTTACTAATATTGTTTTTCGAAAACTGTAGTCACTGACTTCCAAATTAAACTGAAACTTTAACATGGTTCATGGGGTTTTGTAAATAGTAAAACTTTTTTCACCCGCTTCCTCCTTTTATGTTGATATTTTCATCCTCTCTGAAAATAGAGTTATTACCTCCACATGCTTTAATGGTGATCATGAAAATGCAACTATTACTTCCCTTTAGATTCCCATCCACATTTCGAAAATCTAGTTCCTACTTTTAAATGTATATTGGTTTTGTGCTACTGCATCTACTGGCTGCATCCTTGATGCGATACGAATGAGTTCTTTCCTAATTGGTAATTTGGTAATCATGTATGCATTCAATCTGTTATCCTCGTGTTAACAGAAAGTTATATATTTGACTGAAAAGTTACCATGATGGTGTTTGACTATGTATTCTACACAACACTATTTTTTTGTTAAGACATGATATTCTCTTTGCATATATAGTCTCTTCAGCTTCAACAAACACTAAAATTGCTGCATGGTTCATCTAGGAAAGTTAGAACTGTGATATACATATTTTGTGCTTACCATAGGACTCCACTGTCAGCTTTCAGCAACACCAGATTGGGCATTCATGAGGGGAAACCAGCACAAAATAGCATTTTTGTTCGGCATTGATGATCACTGGGGTCCATTGCAAATGTTTGAAGAGGTAATTTAAGGAGTTCTTTTCAATGTTGAGTTTGGAAGTCAAGTGTCAATAAGATTTAAGAGGGATATTGTTTCCCTGCCCCTTTGTGCATATGAATTTGTTGCGAATGCATTTATGCTTTAAAAATTATATGGTAAGTTTCATGACCTTCCAGACCCCTGAGATTCCCAGATACCTTTAACTCCCAGTGCTTCTCGCATGAAATATCTCTTTTTCGTTTTTTCGATCTGTAATAGAAATATAACCATGAGAGTAATACAACGAGAGTAGGAATCTAGGAAGATCAGGAGCATGGAAGGTTTTCACACATACTTTGTTCACTCACTCTTGGTGAATGTATATATTTTTCCTGTCATCGATAAATTTTAGAGAACCGATCATGTTTAACGAAGGACTATTTGCTTTGTAATATAGTCACCTAGGCACTGCTAAGAAGAGGAATTTTTTTTGCTATGAGATTAAATTGGTTGGAGATAGAAGATGTTTCGAGACTCCAAACGTTTAGCATTTCTGATCCCTTATTAAAATTTAGTCTGTGGAGTTTGTTGGCGCGAACATCAAATATGAGGGAGGGGTCATCTCATCGAACCAGTTTTGTTTGCCTTATGTGATGTTTCAACGATGATTCCTATCATTACATGTCAATCACAAGGTGTATGCTGATTCTTATGGTTTTCATGTTAGAAAAGTATACGATTACAGTTTGTCCTGGATAAACATTGATTCATAAGCTTTAAATGACCAATGTATTGGCTTTCTTTCCAAGCAGATACAAGATATGGTCAGAATTCTTAATATACAGATTGAATATTTGCTGCTAATGTCATGCACATTAGTAAAAAGAGAGATAAAATGGTTGCAGTTGATGCTATTGAGTGTTAAGCGTGTCGCAATTTTGTTTGCGGAGATAACTTTTGAATGCCCTTTTTCACCTCTTGCGCACCTTACTTTTTTCTAGCTATTAGATTGAACAAATCAAAAGAGAATCAGAGTGCCGTAATTAAGAAAATGTGTGCAGAAGGTGTAAAATGGCGTGCAAATTTCACTTCCCTTTGGTTTGCTTTTGCTTTTGGCATTTTCTAATATGCCTTACCGGGCATCTTTCTACTTTGTATTTCTGTGGGTCCCAGATTTCCAAGCAGGTCCCGGATGTTGCTCTATCAATTGAAAGAGAGGGCCACACTCATGCTTTTGGTTGCACTGAGGCTGGCTCATTGTGGGTTGCTGAGCATGTAGCAGGCTTGATCAAGAACAATCAAGCATCATAGATATACCTGCTCAACCTAGCCCACCATGTTTGTCTTTAGGATGCAAATATTAGACTTTCATTTGGATGGATAAGTCAATAAATAAAATAAGTCTTAAAGTTTTGATTGTTGCTTGATTAGTTATACTAGAAGCAGTGAATAGATTTGAGCTGCCTACTTGTGGAAAAGGGCAGATTCTTTTGTATGACCGGTTGTATATCTGTTCTCCCTATCCATCTCTCATACAAGAATGGACTTATGCTATCTGGTTGGGGACAGCGGAGGATTTTTATGTGTAACCGGTTGTATGTCCCTCTCTCACTATCTCAAGCATCAAATTTGTATGAAGTATTTGTACTATATTTATTGATTAGCATAAGTAAGATTTATGAAGGATTTATCTACGTGAGACTTGTAAGTGGCTACAATATAAGTATTACTCATCCTGAACTATAATTTTTTGTTTTGGTGAAGTAATATTATTATTGACCATAAAGATTCTTAATTTTATCTACAATTAACCATGAAAATGAAGTAGGGAAATTATCTTTACATCATTTTCTAACATTAGGAGGTGTATAGATGTGACAATGAGCAGTCATTTAATTATTAGCTTTGCATCACTTGAGAGTAGGCCTAGCAATCGGATGGTGTTTGCCCTTTTTGTGTTATATCTATTAATTTAATAAGTAATTTTTGTGTCATATTTGTTATCTTAACGGGTTGTTTTCGTGTCATATACGTTATCTTATCGGATCGTGTCGTGTCAAATCCATTATCTTAATGGGTTCTTAACAAATGACTAAATAACAACGTGATTCGTTAACAAGTCGTGTCGTGTTGGGTTAACGCGTCATGCAGGAAATTATCATGTCTAATATCTAGATTTAACAAACGATATCTTATCTGGTTTTTTTAAAATGATTCTATAACCATCTAACTAACAAACTAACTCACGCTAAAACTTATTATTTTTGTGTCGTGTCGCGTTAACAAATGGCGTACAAATTCACTGGCCTACTGACAGCGCCAACCATCAAGAAGTACCACACTTGGAGAGATTTTTCAGTATGACCGTCATATGAGGTGTTACATCACGTGTCCCTGTATAAATGATGGGTTATGTGTGTTAAAAGGTTAATAACTTAAAAATTAAAATTTTCCACCACTTACATAAAAATACGTGATATACCATCCGTGTTCCGTCACAACTAAAAATTTATCCGCACCATGATGACTAGAAAGCAACACGTCAAGTGCATATTTTTCGTAGTAAAATTGATGACTAGAAAGCAACACGTCAAGTGCATATTTTTCGTAGTCAAATTGTGCGGTTTAGACGAGACTGTCACTGGAATAAACTCACAGAACAGTCATTTTAGCATGTAGGGGACCCTTCAGGAGCTCACATGAACATTTATAGTCAAATCCCCTATTATCCCAACAACTCTCACTCACTTCCCCAACTAAACTAAACTCAACCTCTCTCTCTATCGCTCTCTCTAAAACACACACGATGCCTACAACAACCAGAAGAAAGCTCCGGTTGAGCAAAGTCACGGTCGACATGGGATGCAGCTGCAGAAAACCTATTAAGCTCTTCCAAATATTCCACCCTAAACCTAAACCCTCCTCCAAAACCCTAAAACAAAACAACTACAACCACTTCCCTCCTTCTTCTTCTTCTTCTTCAACCCCACGCAACAACAACAACAACAACAAAGTCTACAAAGACGACTGTGCTCCATTTTTAGTCACAAATTCCGACGCAAAAGCCACGAGGCCCGTCAGGGGCTTCGGTAGAATCGGCAGCGAGAGCGTGGCTGTGGAGAAAGACTCCGGCGACCCTTACTTGGACTTTCGACACTCGATGCTACAGATGATACTGGAGAACGAGATATACTCGAAAGACGATCTCCGGGAGCTTCTCAACTGTTTCCTGCAGCTCAACTCGCCCTGCAACCACGGCATTATTATCAGGGCATTCACTGAGATCTGGAATGCTGTTTTCTCTGTCAGGTCTGGAGGTTCGACGTTGCTGCACTTTGCGAACAACAAGTCACGTGACTACTAGCTGAAGCTGTATCTGCTGCACGTGCAAAGGGGGATTGAGAGATTGAGTTTCCAGTTACATGTCGTGTTAAGATAAAAGACAAGGGGATTCAATCAAGTTATTTAAGGTCCTTTGTAAGGTTGTGGGGGTGCATGTAATGTAAAGAAATATTTTCGATTAATCAAATCTCATATGAATTATGGATACGATTTTATATTTGTTTAAGGCTAGCCGACATTCACCTCTCCCAGACCCTGCGTAAAGCGGGAGCCTTGTGCACTGGGTACGACCTTTATTGTATTTTACCACTTTCCTAGAGTACAAAATAAAGTAAATTGTGGGATGATATAATGTTGGATCATGACTTTTGTTACATAGTAACATGGTAAAAGAATATATATAAAATATTTGTGTGTATGTTGTTATACATTTTTACCTTTCACTTCTAAAACATTACTGTATAAAATTTACAGTTAGAATGTCTTCGTGAATTTTTTTAGCGCAACAATTCTGATTTTATATCTTATGTGGTAATCTTTGAAGTGAAATTTGCTGGCTGATGTTGTTGAAGCATGATATATATATATATATGCTTGTAATAAGTTTTAATTAGAGTGGACTTAGCATTCTTTGAGAAGAGCTAATCTTCTATAAAATAAGGGACAATATACTTCATACTTATATATTATGCGTGCATTGTACAAATATTATGATTAAAATGGCTCATTTCTCTTGTCCTTAAGCGATTATTTTTATAAAATAATTTCGGATATAAATTATGTCTTGGAATGAAAGACAATTCAGAATCTGCATTGACTACGAACAAGGAAGTTATAAGTAATGCACCTATGTATCTCAAGAAAAAGGTAGGCAAAGTCCGAAGGCTGTTATTTCAATAAATCGATAATTTTGATAACAAGTATCATACTTATAGCGAACTGTCACTAAATAAACCCAAGTTATTAGAGTTTAAACAAGTGTTATCCAATCCTAATAATAAATCAAACGATCGAGTTGATGTATTATCTCTAGGAGTGTAAGTTGGGTTGGTCAAATAGGGCAAGTTTCAAGAAGTTAGGGCATTGTTGGGGGAGAAAGATAGGCATTGGGATTTGGATTATAATTATTACAGAGAGTTGGAAGTGGTGAAAGCCAGTTGTTTTATGCAATTTTATTTGTGAGAAGCAGGCCAGTCTAGGGATTTTTTATGCTCAGAGCGACGTAATAAAATATGCTATCATTTTATATAAGAAAATTATTTATTTTCACACATAAGATATCGATAAAATTATATTTAGAAAAACACTTCAAACTTAATAATTTAGAAACACGGAAAAACTAATTTATTTTGTATCGTGAGAAGGAAACAAAAAAACATCGAGTTTACAAATAGATAGATATGAGTTTTGTTTTCCATCTGACTTTTAAAGTGTTTTTGTATAAACCGTGAGTGTTTTTTTTCTTATTTACTAACCTTGTCAATATGAGACTAAAAAAATAATGATGTTTTTGAGTCTTTAATTGATATGTATAAGTAATAAATGGGTGCTAAATTAAGCATTTTAATGACACGTCATCTGATTTGCAAATTTGGTCAACACATTACTTTTTGTTGAAGATTAGACTTGAATTGGGACAAATGTTTAAAAATAACAACCCACATAGCTACTAGCTACTAATTAAAAATAAATTAACAACCAAACAAAATTCGTAAAAATTGAAAAGAATAAACATGTACTTAGCATTTTGAACTTAGGACCTCTCGTTAATTGTAAACAATAGAAACCATTGATTCCAATTAAACTTCTTGATCATTTAGCCAAATTTTATATATTTATACTCTTATGAAAAGAAATTTGTAAAAATTGAAAAGCAAATACACACACATGGTGTTTTGAATCCAAGACCTCCTCATTAATTTCAAACAACAAAACCACTAGTTTTAGTTAAATTTCTTTGTCATTGACCCAAATTTTATAAATTTATACTCTTATGAAAACATAAATAAATACCATCCTAATAATTTTAATACTCCCAATTATTTTGAGCCCCAAATGATAACCCTGCCTGCACTGGACTTGGACCGGCCGTGGTGAGAAGAGAGAATAGAAATGTCTATGACCGACATATCTTTTATACATTTTCCAACACTCCAATATATTTTTGGCTCCTTCTAGGTTTATTAATCACACACTTGCAACTTGGCTTTCGATCTCTCCGGCTCGTCTTCTCTGCCGTATGTTTCTCCTCTAACATCAACAACTGATTATCTATTTGCATAAACGAACATGGCTCTCCCTCCACCTCAAAAAAAAAAAAAAAAATGTATAGCTTTCAAGCAATGTGACTTCATGTCAAAGTTTGAGAGAAGATTTTGCGACCGATTACTAATCAACACCGAGTTTAAGGTGTGCAGTTTCTTAAAAAATATCTCATTGCAAGTAGTAGAACCACATGTTTTATCTAAAAGTGTGCAGCTTCTTTAAAAAAATATCTCATTGCAAGTAGTGGAACCATCATTATAAAAAGAATTAATTTAACTGCATAAGATTTTTATGCGAGACATATGCTTCAACACTTCAAATTAATCATCAAATACTTATGATAAGTACCCATAGCATAGTAAAATATAAAAATTCATTTATAAACTTTAAAACTTTTTAAACACTAAATAGTTACATGCATGCAAAACTTATTTATGAAGAATACACAAAAAAAATACACAAATTAAAAAAAAAAATCTCTTTACATGTAAAGAGTCAAAAAAAAAAAAAATATATATATATATATATATATATATATATTCATAAGCAACTTGATAGAAAACTCACTAATGTAAAGGTTATAAAAAGGAGGGGATGTCCAATATTCGAAGTGTATCAATGTGCAAGGTGTTGTGATAGGAGGAGGATTATCTACCCTCATATTCTCATTCTCTTCCATTCCTTCCTCTCACACATTGCTTTTTGTCTTATTTTCTCTATATAAAAAAATCAATATAAGATGTTGATGTGGCTTAACCATAACCGTTCAAATAGGAGAGCATGGAAGGGTAAAGAGATGAGGAGGGTAGAGAATCATTCTCCGTTGTGATAAGACTTCCCGATTAACAATGAAAAAAAAAGCGTTGCACACTAAACTTTCTTAATGTCAAGCCATCAAATTAAAAAAATTGAACGAGAATAACAGATGAAATTAAACAAAATGTATGAGAGGTAAAAAATGTATGTGTTTATTATTTTCTAAACGAAAAAAATAGGTATTATCAACTAAATTAGCAATTTTAAATATCACCATAAACTTGTCACTTATGGTGTGATTTTTTTTTTTTCATTTATAATTGAAAATTTTTAAATTTAAATTTTGTGAATAATGAGTCTGATACTAATTTATTTTTCACACTTCTAAATATATCACTTTATCAAATGTCACCATGTGCTTGAAATGGAAAACTTAGACCAAAGTGATTTGATGTTTTTAAGGCATTAACAACTCCTCAATACAGTGAACTTTATGCAGCCATCAGATGGGCACAAGCCACGATAACGAAGACCCACTTGACTCTATCTGTAACAAGCCTATATACCAAAGGATTTGGATTCTTTCGGCTTTAAATTGCGGAGATTTTAGGAATTTTCACATTTTAATCATTTATCATATATCGTGCAGTAAAAAATTATTTGATTTTTTATTATTTAAAATTAAGCATAAATAGTACTTAACGAAAATTTACCGTACTATGTATAATGAACGGTTAAAATATAAGAATCCTTAAAATCTTTTTAAAAAAAGATTTTTAGGATTCTCACAAAAAAGAATCGGAAGAAAATCTTACTTTGGTTTAGCTTTGCAGTAACAGACAATTACAGTTGCATTCGTTCCTCTCTCTCTCTCTCTCTCTAGCCATTCTCCATTTTAACAAGTTAATTAGTTTTTTTTTTTTTTTTTTTGACATTTCTGGCCCAAAGAAAGATTTAGATGATGAAAGATGTTTCCCACTATCTTATAAAAGATCTAAACAAAGATATTGACTTGATGTGAATGTGTAGTTGTTGAAACAGAGATTTGATTTAATGGTGTTACAATTAATTTACTTGGCAGGAGGAGAAGGGAGGCATTCATTATCTTTTGCTTGTAAAATTTCAATATTTCTTGTTCATAAACTGAGGATATATTTAAGGGGGAGAGAGACGTTGGACAGAGTCATGATGCATATGCATGGACCTGCTTCAAATTTTAAAAGAAGGAGAAGGCACTTAAGTATTTCCACGAGCAAGAAGATTCCCTCAATCACTTAGATTTTGACTAAACCCTTCTTATAGTAGACCACATTCAATTCTTACATTGATGATGATGATACATCTACATTAATGAAATTTGAAAGTTGATGTGTGAGAGAGATGATGGTTAATTGTTTTTATTATTTATTTTTATAAGAAAAGATATTTAGTATAAGTAACATATCACATTAGTCTAATTAGGTGAAAAGAAGAGTTTAGAGTCGGGACACAAAATACTAAAGAGGAGTAGACTTCGCATGAAAATGAGCATAAAAGTTGTGATTGTCACATCCCGGTCCGAACCTCCATCACATCCCGGGCTCAACTCCACTGTAGCACAATATTATCCACTTTGGGCCCCGACTACGCCTTCACGGTTTTGTTTCTAGGAACTCACACGAGAACTTCTCAGTGAATCACCCATCATAGGATTGCTCTCGCGCGAATTCGCTTAACTTCGGAGTTCCGATGGAACTCGAAGCCAGTGAGCTCCCAAAAGGCCTCGTGTTAGGTAGAGATGAGAATATACATATAAGGCTTACAGGATCCACTTTCCTGGGCGATGTGGGGTGCTACAATCCACCCCCTTCGGGGTCCGACGTCCTCGTCGGCACACTTCCGTCCAGGGATTGACTCTGATACCAAATTATCACATCTCGGCCTGGGCCCCATCACATCCCGGGCTCGACTCCATTGTAGCACGATATTGTCCGCTTTGGGCCCCGACCACGCCCTCACGGTTTTGTTTCTAAGAACTCACACGAGAACTTCCCAGTGGGTCACCCATCCTAGGATTGCTCTCGCGCGAACTCGCATAACTTCGGAGTTTCGATGGAAATCGAAGCCAGTGAGCTCCTAAAAGGTCTCGTGTTAGGTAGAGATGAGAATGTACATATAAGGCTTACAGGATCCACTCCCCTGAACGACATGAGATGC